CGGGGGGGAAAAAAAAATTAAGCAGCTGGAAAAATAGTTACTCTCGCCTACTTGCAGAAATTCTCTAAATCATTTAATGGTAACTATCTTAAAAGGGATTCATTGTTTCAACATTTTCTTCTCTCTAGTTCCTTAGATCTTTCCAAGCTTTATGGCACTGAATTCCTAATTAGTATTTCACTGAAGAGCTCTTAAAGAACTGAAAAGGAACTGCTGCGTACCACTCCTGCTGATGGCTAGGTTTATATAGGCATAAGTATTATCCGTCTCCAGGGCTTTGTCATGTTTGTTACTTATGTACTTGCTACTAATGAAAGTATAATTATCTATTTTTCAGCATAAATGCTTCTGTCCCTTGGACTAGAAACCTCCTAGACCAATGTCAAGTGAACAGCACCAAAAGTAAATGCTAAGCAAGATTTACTTGCTTATAGAGTAAAAAGAAAAGGAATACCAGAGAAAGCCTATTACTAACAGTAATAAAAAACAGACACTACAAGAAAACACAAGGAAAATTATATTAGTTTTTTTTTAAACTTCCTATTATATTTACCAATGTTACCATCTTTGAACTATTTTGACATTATGAACTTGGTTTTTGTTCTTAACAGGAAAAAGTCCCAATATTAGATATATAAAATAGCAACATAAAGCCAGAGATTGTTCAAAATTGTTAGAAATTCTTTCTGTAAATATCTTAGTTTAATACATGTATTGAATAATAATTGTGTAAAGCACTGAACAAGGAACCAAAATGTGCTTTAACACACTTTGTTAAAGTTTTGTTAACATCTTTGTTAACATTTAACAATGATGCGGAAAAAAAATCCCAAACTTGAAGGAATCTGTAATGTAAGTGAGATGGAGATATTAATAACTTAATGAGAAGGTAGAGTTCGGTTAACACAGAAAGGAGGAAGATATTACAGGAGTTTGAGGAGAGATACTTGGTTTGGGGTAATTTCAAGGAAAGCTGCAGAGAGAGGGAAAAAAACTTTTTTCCCCTACTCATTTGGATTTGGTAGCAGGCAAAGATGAACAAAGAAAGTAGGAAGAAGAGTAAAAAATACTTCTTCCATTTTATAAACATTTATATAGTCCATGTTAGCTATAGCATGGTTACAGGTGTGAAGTCTGGGAAAAGAAGGCTAAAATGTTGACAGATCCCTACTGTGGAGCCACCTTCAGAGATCTAACAGTTTTTGAGTTAGAAGTATCAACCGGTGTATCAAAGCAAGGAGACAATAAAATTGGAAAATCAATTAGGCTACTGCAGTGATAGAAGAGAATTGATAAGGGTCTGAATTAGAGTGATGGTAGTATAAAAAGAAGAGTAAGAGAGTGAAACCCAGGATTTAGTAACTAAAAGAAAGCAAATGGCTGGGTGCGGTGGCTCATGCCTGTAATCCCAGCACTTTGGGAGGCTGAGTTAGACTGCTTGAACCCTGGAGTTCGAGACCAGTCTCAGCAACAAAGCAGGACCCTGTTCTCTACAAAAATATTTGAGACCCTGTCTCTTTAAAAAAACCATAATTTTAAAAAGTAGCCAGGTGCAGTGGCAGGCGCTTGTAGTCCCAGCTACTTGGGAGGCTGAGGCAGGAGGATCTCTTGAGCCCAGGAGTTCAAGGTTGCAGTGAAATATGATAATGCCATTGCATTCCAGTCTTGGTGACAGAGTGAAATTCTGTCTCAAAAAAATAAAACTGGGCCGGGCGCAGTGGCTCGTATCTGTAATCCCAGCACTTTGGGAGGCCAAGGCAGTCGGATCACTTGAGATCAGGAATTCGAGACCAGCCTGGCCAACATGGCGAAACCTGTCTCTACTAAAAATACAAAAATTAGCAGGCGTGGTGGCACACACCTGTAATCCCGGCTACTCAGGAGGCTGAGGCATGAGAATTGCTTGAACCCGGGAGGCGGAGATTGTGCCACTGCACTCCAGTCTCAAAAAAGAACAACAACAACAACCAAAAAAACTAAAATAATATTAAAAAAAGCAAATGGATCAAGGAGGGGGATGGAAGAATTAATGGTGACGGAGAAAGGACTTAAAGATAATCCCAAATCTGGTTTAAGATGAGGCTTCCCAACGTGGGCACTATTGACAGTTTGGACAGGATTATTTCTTTGTTGTGGCTGCAGTCCTGTGTATTGTAGGATGCTTAGCAACATCCCAATCTTCTACCTACAGAATGCTGGTAGCACCCCAACCCTAGTCATGACAATCAAAAATATTTCCAGACATTGCCAAATATCCCCTAAGACAGGGGTCCCCAACTCCCAGGCTGCAGACCAGTACTAGTCTGTGGCCTACTATGAACCAACAGCAGGCAAGCCAGCATTACTGCCTGAGCTCTGCCTCCTGTCACATCAGCTGTGACATTAGATTCTTATAGAAGCAGGGAATCTTATTATGAACTGTGCACATGGGGAATCTATAGGTTGCATGCTTCTTATGAGAATCTAATGACTGATGATCTGGGATGGCACAGTTTCATCCAGAAAACATCCCTACCCCCACCACTCCCACCCCAGTCAGGTGGAAAAATTGTCTTCCATGAAATGGGTCCCTGGTGCCAAAAAGGTTGGGGACCACTGCCCTAAGTGGTAAAGGTCCCCCCTGGGTGGGGAGCATTAGTCTAGGTGAGTGGTTATGAGGCAGGAGAATAGGGTCTGGAGGCAGGGAACCTAAGACCGATTCACCCTGACTTCCTACAACTAAGTTGATAGGAAAATTCCAACTTTCCACGCTTAAGTAACAAAAAGACCAGAGGCTACTCCCTTTGCAAACCCCTTTTCTGTGGAGCAGATGGAAAATTTAAAGTTGGTTGCAAAATTGGTTGCTTTCTGCAACCAGACATTCGCATGGGAGTGTAACTTTGTAACTTCACTTCAGCCTCTAACCAACTGATTTCTGCAACCAATCAGACTGATTGTGGGCCACTGCTTTATTTACATGGGGTGAACACCAAGTAGACAACTGGAAACCTCTAGGGGGTGTTCACACCCCAGAAGATTCCTTCTCCAGAGCCCTTGAGCCACTGCTTGGGCCCACTGTGGAGTGTACTATCATTTTCAATAAATCTATGCTTTCGTTGCTTCACTCTTTCCTTGCTTTGCTGTGCATTTTGTCCAATTCTTTATTCAAAATATCAAGAACCTGGACAACTTGCAGTCAAGACCCTCTACCAGCAACAGCTATGCCATTAATTAGGGCCTACCAGAAGAGGCGCCCAGAATGGCTCCTTGTCTATAATCTCAAACTTGAAGGGGCTGAACATTTTCCTGCAAGGTGTGGTAAATCTATGGAGGTGAGCAGATGTGACCTCTTCCTAAATGTTCATTTCAGCTGTAGATATATCATTCATATCTTTCTCTAGGAGTTATATTTTCCCCAAATATGGCTATACAGTCCTCAAATGTCAAGCCATTACATCAATAAGGAACAGTAGTTTCTTATAGACAACTCAGGGGAAAATCAACTTTAAATGATCATCTACCTATATTACCCCTGTATCTGATGTAGTATCTTTGGTCATCATATTATGCCTATAGTTTAGTTTTGGAAACACAAATATTGTAAATTGTATAGCCTGGTTAGCAGCCTTTTAAATGTTTTGTTGTACTCTAACATTATGTAATAAGTTGTCCTTTGTGTTTTCCTTGTCCCATTAGTTTTACTTCTGGTTCACAATACTTATGCTCCTCAGTGACTTAGAGTTGTTAACAGACCAGTGATTCTATCTTCTCGATAGCTTTGCATATTTTTTATGTTTATTATCTTTTGATACTAGTAGTGTTTTAAAATTTCAAATGTTAATTATTGTTTACTCATACAACATTTTAAAAAATTTAGGTTCAGGAAATTACTTAGTCAAAAATATCTATTATACATAGTAACAGGAATTTTATAGTTATACATCACTTTATTCTATAATATGAAAGATTTGGACATTATTACCTAAGTTTCCATTCTTTTGTCATATTTAGAAAAATAATATTTTAAATCTACTGATTTCATCAGGGCAGGAGGAATGAGGGGCTTCAAAAATCTGCAAGCTGCCCAGGCCACTTGAGGCTATTTTAATGGCCTAACATTAAGAGTAGTAGGGAGGATATGCAAAAGATTTACTATAAAGAAACATTTCTTACTGCAAACTTCTATTTAAATTTGACATCAGCCTCATCACCTTTTGTGAATTTTACAGGAAATACAAAAACCATGTTTTTTTATATATATAACTCAATACCATTCAAGCTTGAGATCAGGTGATAGTTGAATTTTCCACGGCAAAATTAACTGCCTAGATATAGCAAAGATGTTAGTACCACAAATTTACAATTATTTCTCTCTTTAATCAGAGTGGTCTATTGATTTTACACACTATGTCGTTTTTCTGAGACAGTCTCACTGTCGCCCAGGCTGGAGTCCAGTGGTGCGCTCTAGGCTCACTACAGCCCCCACTGCCTGGGTTCAAGCAATTCTTCCACCTCATCCTTCGAGTAGATGGGATTATAGATGTGTGCCACCACACTTGGCTAATTTTTGTATTTTTAGCAGAGACAGGGTTTTGCCATATTGGCCAGGATGGTCTCAAACTCCTGGCCTCAAGTGATCCTGGCCTCAAGTGATCTGCCCACCTCACCCTCCCAAAATGCTCAGATTACTGGCATACGCCACCGTGCCCAGCCTCACACACTATATCGTAAGCTCCAAGTTTTTATTCATCTTTGCAAACCCAATGAGGTTTGCCTGTAATAAGCCTTCAGTGAACACTTCTTGAATTAAAGATCTTTATTTCATTCTAAAAAGTCTTCAGGGTCCCCATATTCGAAACATATGTCCACTCCCATCCCTTCACTGAGATTTATTAAAAGGTGAAGAGAAGTGTGCATTCTATAAAACTGACTAGATTAAATATAATGGTTTGATTTCCTTTTCTGAAGATAACACTGCTCTACAAAATTTTTCAGTTGCGTATCAATAAGACAAAAGCACCTTTGTAACAAAATTCGAATGTTTAATTTTTTTCAAAACTTAACCATACTAATGAAAATAAATTATATGTAGACCACCTTCAATATTTTTACATCATCTTTATACAACTATAACAGTGCTTTTAAAAGACATTTTGTGAAGGACATTAATTTCACATTTAAAACGTGTTTCAAAAATAAGGGAACATTAAAGAACATCAAATTAGTCTGAAATATATCTCACAATGCTGAGAGGCATACTCTTCTTTATCAAATTAACTGTATGTGTATTCAAGATGGCTTTTAACTAATGACCTTTCTTGTCCATTTCAGTAATTTCTTGGATCCAAAACAAAATCTGTGTATTTATTTCTTTGAAAACATCATTTGTCGACCGTCCTTTTACTGCCATGGAATGATTTGCCTTCTCAATCCAGTGGATTTTATGGGGAGCTTGCATTTTCTGTGCCACTTTCTCCAACAAGTTCTAAAGAAAAAAAGAAGAGGATACTAGACTAATGTTCTGTTGATATTTAATAAAAGGTCCTCTCTCCCCACCTATACTGATATTCATTTCCAAGTATTCACTAAATGCTTTCTCACAGACAACTTTCTAGGCAATAGAATGTGTGAGGAAATGTCCTAAATGTGGCAGTCCACTTCCCTCAGCTGTAGCAATATCAGATCAAGCACTCATGCATCTACTAATAAAATGTTAAATAAATTGGAATAAAAAAAATTTTCCCCAAAAAAAGCTTTTTCCCAAGCAAATTATATGCTCTGGGGAATACAACGTTGTTTCATAATATTGGGCTAATATTTAGTAATGTGTAGATATTGCCAACCCTTTCTCAAGAATCAATTTTATAACAAACAATCTGCCTGAATATTGAAATGATTTAAAAAATCTACAGTGTAGTAATCCCCAAATCAGACGATTCAGATATTAAGCCTTCATTTTACAAATAAGGGTCATATTTACCAACTCTATTTCCAGGGAGACAAATTTTGTCAGTATACTTATATTTTTAGATTCTCAAAAGCAATGGAGTAACCAGGACACAAAACTAGCATTAGTCAAATTGGCAACTTTTAAAAGAGACTGTTGCCAGAAGTATCTTGCTCCCAAGATATTTCTTTCATTCTCTTTCATTCACACAAACATTGAGTTATAATTCACCTTTTCACACATTTCATCTGCTGAGCCTGACACAAACAGTACAGGCTCTTTTAAACGAAAGAGGTCTTCATCTCTGAGTTTATGCTGCTGCTTTGGATGGTGCAGTGGGTAAGAAATACAAATGAGACCCCGAACAAAATCATCACCATCATCTGGCTCAATGTGACACATTACAGAAGCAGCTGCTCTTGAGCCCATTGAACGACCTAAAATCAATTAAAATTAAGTTCAGTTTGAAATATAAACTTTCACATAAAGTAGCAGTGATGGTGTGGCAAATTGAATCTTTTACTGTTCATCATATCTGTTTACCAACAAATTAACTCCAAACGGCAGCAATTAACAAGTTGCAATACCAGGCCAGGTACAGTGGCTCACACCTGTAATCGCAGCACTTTGGGAGACCTAGGTAGGCAGACTGCCTGAGGTCAAGAGTTTGAGACCAGCTTGACCAACATGGCAAAACTCTTATCTCTACTAAAAACACAAAAATTAGCTGGGCATGGTGGTGCACACCTATAGTCCCAGCTACTTGGGAGGCTGAGGCAGGAGAATCACTTGAATCCCGGAGGTGGAGGCTCCAGTGAGGAGGTAAAGGCTCCGTCTCAAAAAAAAAAAAAAAAAAAGAAAAAGAAAAGAAAAAGCTAAAAATTGATCTTAAGTCAAATGCTAAAAAAAAAAAAAAAAAGGCAATTATTTTTCTGAACACTTAAAAGGACAAGGACAATCACTGTAAAGGAATCATATGCAAGAGGACGATTCAGGGATATGAATAAAAGGAGAGAAGCTCAGCTTATAATACATATACATGAGGTTCAAGTTTGCTCTAAGTATATAAAGTACTTTAATATTAAAAAGGTGACTTACCAAAACAAAAAAAAATCATTAAATTAGCTTCCTATGATCAACTAATTTTAACTCTCCATTACCTATTCCTATATTAAAACAGGTACTTAACAAGTATTCACAAGTATTGCACTTACCTCCAAGAAAAACACCTGCAAGTTTGTATTCTCCTGATGTCTTTAGGTAATTCTAGAAAAATAAAAAAATCATCAATTCTTCATCTATAAAATATTCCACTGGAAAGACAAGATATATTGTTTCTCATCATTACTGAAATGTATGAAAATCTATGCAAAGATAACCAGAAAATCTTAAGGGATTCTTCTTAAAAGAGGTAAGCAGTCCTTCCTCTTCTGGTCATGCCTTCACTATTAAACCACATGTTAGGTAATACAGGCAAATACGTAAGAAAAAAGTCAACCTACCCTTACTAAAATATTTAAGCACTAAACTATTTTTAGAGAATAAATTATTTTTTAAAAAGGCCAGCAAAGGCTTGCAACTAATACCAAATTTGATAATGTTAACATCTAAAGTTCTAAAAAACTTAGTAAGTTTGAAAGCATTTAGATCAGGGGTGTTCAATCTTTTGGTTTCTCAGGGCCACAGTGGAAGAACTGTGTTGGGCCACACATAAAATACACTAACTCTCATGATACCTGATGAGCTTAAAAAAAAAAAATTGTAAAAAAAAATCTCATAATGTTTTAAGTAAGTTTACAAACTTGTGTTGGGCCACATTCAAAGCTGTCCTGGGTCATATGTGGCCCATGGGTTGGACAAGCTTGATTTAGTGAAACTTTAGTGTTACCCAGGATTTTAAGCAAGGTTTCTAAATAACATATACAGAAAACAGTATCATATTTGTACATGCATAGTATGGTAAATAAAATATTCTAGAATGCCAAAATGATGTGCTAAAGTTACATAATTCCAGTGAGAAAAATCATAAGTAGTTTCCTTGGCAATATCATGGAGGAACATTTATGATGTAAGCATTCATCTCCACGGAAACTGATGACAGAGAAATCTGACCATTAAAAAGCTTTCAGGTACTGCTGAGTTTTCTAAGAATACACTCATTCAAAGATTTTTTAAATTAAACCAGATGACTACTAATAAAATTTATATTACATTTATTAAGGATTTCAAACAGAATTCTGTTATAAGTAAACATAAATTTTCTTACCAAAACTGATTTATATGCCTTAATTCTATGTACAATATTAAGGCCTTTACAGGTAAATCTCAGGCAGAAAAACCCATGGGATGCAAGATGGGATGCCAGTGACATCAAATGAGGAAGATTCATATCTCCTGATGCTCCATGTGTAAGAATTATTCCATATGTTAAGCTCTTGTTAGGTACCAAACAAACAGCATCTAGTAATTTATTTCCAAAAGGTATTTTTAATTTAACCTGGAATTCAAGAGAATAAAGGGATCAAAAATTACTTTCTTGCCTATTAAGACAACTGAACAGCTACATACATGTTGGCTCTGTGAGGCTCATAATTCAAGTCATAGCCTCCAAATAAAAAGTAGTGATATTAATAATAGTATTTAAGTGCTTACTGTGTTGGGTATTATTACAAGTGCTTTATATGTATTAACTTATTCCACCTTTCTAACAATCCTGTGAGGCAAGCACTATCATTATCCCCATTTTATACATAAGGCACAGCAGATTAAGTAACTTGCCCAAGGTTATATAGCCGCTAGCTAGGATTTAAACTCAGGGCAGTCTGTTCTAGATTCCTCATTCTTAACCACTTATGCTATACTGCCTCCCACAGTGAAAGTTGAAAATAAGATTACTCTGAAGCCATATAATCACAAACAAACAAAAAACCAGGAACCTTGAAGATGCAGAACATACGAAAATATTACCTCTGTATGACTCATTTTCACTGTTGAATAACAAACTTAAAGTGCATTTACATCTGAGAAGCAAAGGACATCTCCCTGAAAAGAAGATTCTGTTGTGAAAGGTGAGTTGGCAGACATGGATATGACACAAAAACTATGAATGAACACATTCAGTAGCTAAAATAAACATTTAGAATTACTTCCCTAAAATCTGGTGTCTTTACATGTACATTTTTCTATGGGCACTCAGAATTGGTTAGAGGGGCAGGTGCAGGGTTGGTAGATGTTATAGAAGATAAAACAAAGGTGATACTTTGACATGGAAACTATAAGGTAATTCATATCAAAGTAGGATGCTGTATCTTGGCAAAAAATGATAATGTAAAAATGTATAAATACACATTTTTGTAAGAATCTTCATTCTAAATGAACTATCCTAATTTTTCAGCATCTTTCCATTAACCCATTTTCTTCATTATTATAGTTCCCAAGCCTACCCATCCACACCTTGTCATGTAACTTCACAGTGCTGCCAGAAGGCAGAGTATATATGTCTTCACCCTGTTTACTTTGGACTTGGCTATGTAACTTGTTTTAAGTAATGGAATGTAGGTAGACATTTCAATGTGTGACTTCTGAGCTTAGGCGTGGCAAACTTCCAGAAGCCCTCTTGAACTTTCACCCTCAGCCACGAGAAAAACATGCTCTAGGTGGTTTTGCATTTTCAGCCTGGGTCTCAAAATGAAGACATATGGAACAGATCTGAACCCAAAACTGAAGTCTGGAGTCCAGACTAGTCTAACCAAGACCTAAACAACAGCTGATCTGAAGATCCATGAGCATGAAATGTAAGCCACTGAAATTTTGGGGTTGTTAGGTAGCATTCCTTCCTATGTTAAGAGCTCTTGTATTGTTTAGGATATTATCAACGTTAGGATCTCCATTACTCACCCATTTTTCCCATTAACATTTATTTATTCATTCATTCAATAGGTAACAGTAACAAGGTTTAAAGTTCAAAAGGTACCAAGAATATGTAGTGAAAAAGTCTCACTCATTCCACTTTTGACTTGCCATCAGATCCCCTCTCCAAAGGTAATCAATATTATCTGCTTCTTACTTATCCTTCCATATAGAACTGTACTTATTTTCACACGAGCGTAAGTTTATTTATAAGATAAATTCCTGGGGAAGGAATCGCTGTGTCAAAGGATTTGTTCATAATTTTTTACAGAATTTTTTCATAGAACTTCCTGAGGTGAATACATTTCATTTTTGAACAGGTATCATATGCACACGGTACACTAAAAAATGTAAACAGAAGTCAAAGGATTTGTTCATAATTTACAGAATATTTTTTTTCATAGGCCTTCCTGAGGTGAAGAATACATTTCATTTTTGAATAGGTATCGTGTGTACATGGTACGTTTTAAAAGACAATGTAAACAGAGGTTTCCTCACACTCTTTCCCCCGGCCACCAAGTTCTTTTCACTTCCTAGAAACCACCATAACCAACGTATTATGTACCTTTCCCCATCTGTGTGTGTGAGCGTGTAGAATTCTCTTATTTCAGCCTGGAGAGCATTAGTCTGATCTGACTGTAAAAGTTTTGGAAGTTGAGTGAGATAAGGGAGATGAAGGACTTCAAGCTTCAGTGTCCCTAACTTCATACATGTAGCCCCATAATTATGCCTGGGTTTCTCAGTTCAAAGATCCTCTGTTTTACTTTCTCAAGAGAATAAGCCTCCATCCAGTCTTCTAACAAGGGGAAAGGCAGTCACCCAACAGCGTGAAATGGGGAAGGGGATCTGGATATCCAATTGCTTCTCAGATTTCACCTAAATCATTTCTTTAAGCTCCTTACACCCACCTTCTGCACCACCACCACCTTCATTCCCAGTACCACAGCTGTCCAGTGCTGCCAGTTTCCGTGCAGTTTGAAGAGTCTGTGGTTAATACAGGGTTTGCTAAGATATTGCCAGCGTTTCCTTTCCTATTCTCCTATTGTTGGAGGTTTGTTTTTGTTTTTAAATCCCCTTAATGTAATTTCGGTGAAACTTCATGAAGGAGTAAATTTAGATGCATGTAAACAATCACTATCTTAACTTAAAATGCTTCACTTTTTTTTTTTTGAGACAGGTTCTCGCTCCGGTGGACAGGCCGGAAAATTCAGTGATGCAATCATAAGTTCACTGCATCCTCGAACTCCTGAGCTCAAGTGATCCTCTCGCCTCAGCCTCTTGAGTAGGTGGGACTACAGACGCTCACCACCACGCCCGCTAATTATTTTAAAATGTTTTTGTAGGGACGAGGGTCTCCCTATGTTTCGCAGGCTGGTCTTGAACTCCCGGGCTCAAGCGATATCCCCTGCCTTGGCCTCCCAAACCGTTAGGAACCCAAGGCGTTTGCCACCTCCCGGTCTGCTTTAGTATTTTTCAGACTTCACGATGCACAGTGTGTTCTTCACGGCTGGTGCACACATGCTGCTTTTCTTCAGAAACACGGAAAATGCCCCATAATACAATCCCCAAGCAATCTGCTCTAGGTCGTCTGGGTGTGTTTTTTTGAGACAGAATCTTGCTCTGTCCGCCAGGCTGGAGTGCAGTGGCGCAATCTCGGCGAACTGCAACCTCCGCCTCCTGGGTTCAAGCGATTCTCCAGCCTCAGCCTCCTGAGTAGCTGGGATTACAGATGGGCGCCACCACGCCCGGCTAATTTTTGTATTTTTAGTAGAGACAGGGTTTCCCCATGTTGGCCAGGCTGGTTTTGAACTCCTGACCTCAGGTGATCCACCCGCCTCGGCCTCCCATCGTGTTGGGATTACAGGCGTGAGCCACCGCGCCGGGCCACTGTCGTCTGGGTTTTCATCTCTGGCTTTAAGTTCAGAGAGGGCAGGGATTCAAGACTGGCCCGGCCTCAGTGCCCTCAATGGCGATGGTGAAGATGACCGGCTAGAGGTGCTGCGCCCACGAAACGCCAGTGGTAGTGGCGTCCCGAGCGCCGGCTCCACGGGCTGGGCGGTCGGCGGAGTTCTAGGACAACTCCTACTCAAAGGGCTGGGCGATCACCTCCAACGCTACAGCCCCTTCAACTTTCAGTTACAAACGTTCGTGCCCTGTTACGTCCACAGCATTACGTTGGCTGTCGTGGGGCAAACAAAAACGTTGAGTCCGAGTCTTACAGCGGGTCGGGTCAACAACCGCAGCAAACATGGAGAGAAAATTCAAAGTGGGTCTCACGGGCGTGCGGGGCTCGGCGGCGCTCGGGCACGGGATCCGTTCCCTCCGCAAATGCGCGCTGCCGGGGCTGCCCCGCCGGCCGCCCCGGACGACCCCTCTCAACTCGGAGGCTGCTTCGAGCCAGTCACCCGGGACTGGCTGACGCGGTCCAGGTTAGCCCCGTCCGGCTCTCCCTGTCCGTACCAACCCCACACTCCGCCCTCCTACCCGGCAAAGCCGACGAAGCCCCCACCGGCTGGTGCCCGCGGGCACCGAACTTAACGGAACGCCTCCCGGCTCGGACCAACCGCGCCTGAGGAGCGACGCCCGCGAGCCTCAAACGCCTCAGGCGGGCCTGCCGGGTGCTCTCCCCGTCTCGTCTCCCAGGAAGCCGCCCCTCAGACGGCGGCGCCAACCGCCACCGCCGCACTTACCCGGGAAGGCAAAAGTGGCCGCGGGCACCCAACCGCTGTCACTCCCTTCAGGGAGCTGACTAGCGCGCTCGAAGCGACCGCCTCGCCTGCCCCGCCACAGCGATCGGCTACGACGCACGCGCGCGCAGGCCACGCCCCCGGGTGCGCGGGCCGGGCCGCAGAGCACGTCGGGAGCGTGAGTCTCCCAGCCCGCCACATCCTGGGGCGGTACGCGCGGAGAGGCCGAGCCGGGGGAAGGCGCCAGGGTGGCCGCCGCCTCAGCAGCACTCGGACGGCTGGAAAGTCAGCCCCAGTTTCCGCCTCCCCCAGGATTGCTCCACTCGGAGCTTTTCCTCATCCCAGCCACCACTCCATTCCGAGGCGCCATCAGCTCTGACCAGTCTCTTCCTCACATCCATTGTCAATTCGTTAGTCCCGTTAGGGTCAAACGCTTACGGAATCCAACCGCTTCGCACACTTCTACATGGGGTCGAGCCTCCTGTTATCTTTGCGGGGATGACTGTAACGGGATAACGGTCGCTTCGTACCATCTTGCCCCCGCCTGGGCCTTGTCGGCGACGCCGCAGCCACGTGGATGCTGTGGAAGCCTTCCCGCGCCCCCCTACCCCGCCAGATCTTCCAAAGGCTCCGCGCTCATCGCCAAAGCCAGCGGCCGGCAGTGGCCTAGGCTGTTGCACGCGATGGGTCCCCCACATCTCCCCTCTCTATCTCCTTTCCCTGGAGATAGCAAACATGGAGAGAAAATTCAAAGTGGGTCAGCCTCTGCTATCCTCACCATCACCCACCAGGCACGAACCCACGACGACGGGCTTTTGTCGTGGCTTCTCCCTCCCAGCGTGGGCCGTGTCTTCTCGGGGTCGGCAGGGTGCGTGGTTTTCACAGCGAGGCCTCTCCTGATCGCCTCCTCGCTCTTCCTGTTCTTCCCTGGTCACCTCACGAGCTATGGATGTGTCTGTCTCCTCACTGCACTATAAGCTCCCAGGTGAAAACAGGGTTGCTTTTTGTAAATTTTTGTTTTCATTGAGAACCTCCTGTGTGTGAATAATGCTCAGAAAAAAAAATATATATATTAAATGAATGACTCTTCCCCAAGCCCAGTGCAGCTGGCACCTGCCCTCTTTTCTGTCACGGTACGTACAAGGAAATACATTCCACAAAACCACATAGTCACTGTCATTTATCACAAGTGTTTTCCCAAATTACAAAGTCTTAATACTTCCTTGTCTCCTAAGTTTTTAGCTGTGTTTTTTAAAAAAGTTTCTTTACATGCCATAAAATTCACTCATTTGAAGTACACCATTCAATGATTTTCAGTAATTTTAAAACCATTTGCAACCATCACTATAATTTAAGAACATTTCCATTATCCCCCCGAAAAGTATGTGCACTGTTACAGTTGAGGTAGGAGATCAGCAGAACTTGTTTTCCAAGCACTGATGACCACCCGCTGAGCAAAACAAGATCCGGTCAGAACAGGATGTCCTAAAAAAACGTCCAAAACTGCCCTAAAGAAACAGGCCCAAACCAGCTAAAACAAGGATGGCGACCAAAGTGACCTCTAGTGCCCTCACTGCTCATTATACACTAATTATAATATATTAAACATGCTACCACACTTCCACCGGCACCCTGACAGTTTATGAATGCCATGGCAATGCCCAGACCTTACCTTATATAGTTTAAAAAGGGAAGAATCCTCAGTTCCAGAGGAACTCCCCATCCCTTTTCTAGAAAATTCGTGAATAACCCACCCCTTATTTAGCGTATGATGAAGGAGCAGGTATTAAATATAGCTAGCCACTGGCCCGGTGCCCTGACTTATGCCTGTAATCCCAGCACTTTGGGAGACCAAGGTGGGTGGATCACCTGAGGTCAGGAGTTGGAGACCAGCCTGGCCAACATGGTGAAACCCAGCATGTACTAAAAATACAAAAATTAGCCAGGCGTGGTGGCAGGCACCTGTAGTCCCAGCTACTTGGGAGCTGAGGCAGGAGAATTGCTTGAACCCTGGAGGCAGAGGTTGCAAAGCCGAGAAGAGTGCACCACTGCACTCCAGGCTGGGCAACAGAATGAGACTCCGTCTCTCTCTCTCTCTATATATATCTATCTATATATCGATATAGATATAGATAGCTGTAGATATCTATATATATAGATAGATAGATATATAGCTAGCCAGCAATCCCTGAGTGTTACTCTGCCTGTGGGGTAGCCCTGCTGTGTTTACCAGAAGCAATTTTCCTGTGATTTGTTGCTCTAATGTACTTGCTTTGCTTTCATTTTACTGTCAGTTTGTTCTTGAATTCTTTCCTGTGCAAAGTCAAGAACCCTCTCAGGCTCAGCTCCAGTTTTGGGATTCACTGGCATTACAGCCATTCTCTGTTCCTACCCCTATCCCCGGGCAACCACTAACACACTTTCTGTCTCTCTGGATTTATCTTTTCTGGACAGTTCATATAAATGGAGTCCTACACTGTGTGGTCGTGTGCCTCTACCCTCTTGCACTTAGGATAATGTTTTCAAGGTTTGTCCATGCTGTGACATGCATCAGTACTTTGTACCTTGTTACAACTCATATATTTTTATTGCCAAATAGTATTCAGAATTTTTGAGTATCCATTCACCAGTTGGTAGACATTCGAATTGTTCATACTATTTTGTTATTATGAATTCTGCTGTGCCATTCAGAGAAACAGAAGGCGATGTGACGACAGAAGCAGAGAGATTTGAAGATGCCAAGATGCTGGATGGGAAGATGGAAGAGGGGCCTCAAGAAAAGAAATATAAGGACTGCAGCTCTAGAAGCTGGAAATGGCAAGGAAAAGTTTTCTCCTCTCCGAGACTCCAGAAGGAATCAGCCCTGCTGGTGACCTTGACATGAGCTCTGTGAAACTGGTTTCAGACTCTGACCTCCAAAACTGTGAAAGAATAATTTATGTTGTTTTCAACCACGTAAGTTTGTGGCAATTTATCATCGCAAAAATAGGAAACTAATACAAAAGCTTTATTTATGAACCAAAAATTGAATTTCATATATGCTTCACATGTAATGAGATACTCTTCTTTTTATTTTTTTCAGCCACTTAGCAATGTTGAAATCATTCTTAGCTTGCAGGCTGTACAAACACTGGTGGTGGCTCAGATTGGGCCTGTGGGCTATAGTTTGAAATATCCTAAATTAAATATGAGTGCAATTAATTCAGCCATGTATTAAAATAATAATATGTAATAACCCTGGTTTGTGTTTTTTTTAAACCCTGGGGTTTTATAATGTTTCAAAAATTAGAATGCTGTTAATGTAATACATTACAGATTAATGCAGCAAAAACAAAGCCAAATAAAACATGAACATTTCAATAGATGCCTTAAAAACACTTAATAAAATTTAATGCCTTTCCTATTGAAAAAGGAAATAAGTCAGTATTAGATTAGAGACCGGCCTGGCCAACATGGTGAAACCCGGCATCTACTAAAAATACAAAAATTAGCCAGGCGTGGTGGCAGACACCTGTAGTCCCAGCTACTTGGGAGCTGAGACAGGAAAATTGCTTGAACCCTGGAGGCAGAGGTTGCAAAGCCGAGAAGAGTGCACCACTGCACTCCAGGCTGGGCAACAGAGCAACACTCCATCTCTCTCTCTCTATATATATATGTATATATCTATATCGATCTATATATAGATTGATAGATATAGATATAGATATATAGATATATAGCTAGCCAGCAATCCATGAGTGTTACTCTGCCTGTGGGGTAGCCCTGCTCTGTTTACCAGAAGCAATTTTCCTGTGCTTTGTTGCTCTAATATACTTGCTTTGCACTTAGGATAATGTTTTCAAGGTTTATCCATGCTGCGACATGCATCAGTACTGTTTTAATAGTGGTTGTTTATCATAAACTAGACCAAACATTTTACTCAACATTGAAAAATCTGTAACATCTTTGATGATCCAATCTAAACTAGCCACCACTATCTACCCCACTTTTTTCTCTGTAATACCGTTTTTATTTATGACAATCCATAATTATCTTGTTTAGTTTTTACTTGATAATTTTCATTCTTTTCCAGAATAGACAGCAATTGTTCACTTCTGTATCCTTAGAGCACAGTACAATGTCTAGCACATATTAGGTGCTCAAGATTTGTTGAATGAATTCCCATTTGTAATGCTAACTTTATGTGTCAAGTTGGCTGATCCAGGGTGCCTAGATAAGTGGTCACACATTATTCTGCATGTTTCGATGAGAGTGTTTTGGGATAAGATTACCATTTAAATCAGTGAACTGTGAGTAAAGCACATTGCCCTCTGTAACGTGGCAGGTGGCAGGGGGTGGGCGCTCATCCAGTTAACTGAAGGAGTAAGTAGAACAAAAGACTAGCCTTCCTTGAGCAAGAGGGACTTCTGTCAGCAGACAGCCTTCAGGCTTGAACTGCGATACTAGTTCTCTCCTGGGTCTCCAGCCTAATGGTCTTCGGACTTTAACTGCAGATGTTGGACTTGCTAGCCTCTAAAATTGTGTGAACCAATTTCTTAAAATAAATCTTTATACACGCACGCACACACACACACACACACACACACACACCCCTCTATTGGTCATATTTATCTGGAGAATCCTGACTAATGAAATACCATTGCAGTCTGAAAGACAATAAGAATGCTTGTTGTCACCACTATTATTCAACATTATGCTACAAGTTCCAGCCAATGCAATAAGGATAGAAAATAAATAAGATTATAAATATGGCAAAGAAGATACACTGTCACTTTCAAATATGATTGTGTTTGAGAAAAAACAAGTGAAATGTAGTAGAGCTAATAAAATCGTTCGTTAAGGGGTTGGGTACTGAACATACATAAAAACCTACAGTTTTCTTAGCTACATTAAATAACCAGCTAGTGAGACCCCGTCTCTACAAAAAAACCCAAAAAAACAAAAACATAATCTTTTGAGCATTAAAAGACACTGAAATGAGAGTCTAAGACATGCCATAAAGTAGAACGTATGGAGCATATACCACAAAGTACTAAATCCAGAATATATGTCTATGAATCCAGCAGAAAGTTGAACTACTTAGTAGGAAAATAATTAAAATTTTACAGGAAAGGCAACACAAAAGGCTAATAACCACAAAATGGTCAGCCTCATTAATAATCAGAGAAAAGAAAATTAAAACATGTGTTACCATTGTGTACTAATCAGATTGGCAAAAAATTTGTCAGTCTGATAATATCAACTGTTAGCAAGAAAGTAAAGCAACTGCAAATTCTGTACAGCCCTGGAAAGAGCATAAACTGGGACAAACAATTTGGAGTCATTTAACATTATCTAGTGAAATAACAGATGTACATCCCTTATAACCCAGTAATTCCACTTCTAATCAAATGTGGCCAAGAAACATGAATAAGAATGTTCACTGCAGCACTGATTGACATTTCCCCCAAATGGGAGGAATCCAAATGTCCATCTGCAATGGAATGGTAAAATAAAGTGATCATATTTATATGGTGAAGTACTGTCCACATATAAAAAATGAGTAAGGCTGGACGCGGTGGCTCACGCCTGTAATCCTAACACTTTGGGAGGCCGAGGCTGGCATAGCACTTGAGTTCAGGAGTTTGAGACCACCTTGGGCAACATGGTGAAACCCTGTCTCTACTAAGAATACAAAAAATTAGCTGGGCAAGGCAGGCACCTGTAATCCCAGCTACTCAGGAGACCAAGGCAGGAGAATCGCTTGAACCTAGGAGGTGGAGGTTGCAGTGAGCCAAGATTGTGCCACTGCACTACAGCCTGAGTGACAGAGTGTGACTCTGTCTCAAAAAAAAAAAAAAAAAAAAAATAGGCAAGTAACACCAACAGAAATTTGATATGATTCCATTTACATCAATTTCAAAATAGGCAAGAGTAAACTCTGCTGCTTAGGGAGGTGCTATATGTAGGTGGTAAAACTAAAAAGCAAGAAAAAGATTATCACAGCCATCATGTTTGTGGTTACCTGGGAGCAGAGAGGAAATGTGATAAGGGGAGGCACTGTGGTCACCTCTAAGCAATGTTCTATTTCTGAACCCGAGTGGAAATGTCGAAGAAAAACCAGAGCTGGACAATAAAGTGGTAAAAAACAGATGCTATTCAGGACTATTGCAACAGGGGACAAGACATTTCAGTATAGGATTGGGCTCAATTCTGAATACAGCATGGTTAAATGGGCATTTATAGCCAAGGATCAGGGTAGGGAGTCAGTGGATGGAAAATTACCAAGAGGAAATGCATCAGGGTGACAGATAATCTGGTTAAATAGACCAAATGGGATTCTAGCTGAAAACAGGCCAGCATGATCAGACATGACTTGGGGGATGGTAGAGGATGAGGAAGTAGATTAGATACAAAGCATGGTCACATATGGAGGGTGGGGGATTTTTGTGAAACTGACTTAGCAGGGTTCTTGGTAAAATTGAATGTTATAAGGCAGTGCGCAGATAGGCCTATGACAAGGTTCAGGAGACTGATGAAAGGATAGTGATATGGTTTGGCTGTGTCCCTACCCAAATCTCATCTTGTGGCAGGCCAGGTCTCACTAACACAGGCCTCCATACAACTGTTTCAGTACTGACTGAGTGGTAAATTAAATGTTAAAAGCTAGTGTCCTTATACAAAGGCTGGAATGTAACAACAGCCCACCAAGAATTTTGCCTAGGCCTTTCCTGAACCTTAAAGCATGATTAACCAAGTTTTACTGGGGGCCTAAAGAAACTCCCAAGGCCTCCACAAACAAGTTTATTGGGAGTCTGAAGGAACTCCCTAAACCTCCGTGATTTAGTAGGAGGCAAGATAAGGGTAATCACCCCAGCACCTGGACTCATTTAGATTAAGTATATTTACTGAGGCTCCAGAGGAAGGTCTTCAAGACTCAGAACTTAGTTATAGATTAAAAGAAGTTAATCACTTATGTCTTTAGATGAATGCACACTTAAAAACATAGACATATAGCTTGGAAGGTACATAGGCTCTGGAAAACTTTGTAATTTTGAGTTGGTCTAGTGATAATTTCCAGGCCTTCTCCCTGTAGCTGGTTACAGAAATAAAAACTCTCTTCCTCCCCAGTTCATCTGCATCTTGTTATTGGGTCACAAGAAATAGTAGCCTGACTCTCAGTTCGGTCAGAGAACAATCTTGAATTGCAGTTTCCATAATCCCCATGTGTCATGGGATGGTCCTAGTGGGAGGTAATTGAATCAAGGGGGCAATTACCCCCATGCTGCTGTTCTCATGATAGTGAGTGAGTTCTCACAAGATCTGATGGTTTTATAAGGGGCTTTTCTCCCTTTGTTCAGCACTTCTCCTTCCAGCAGGCATGTGAAGAAGGATGTATTCACTTCCCCTTCTACCATGATTGTAAGTTTCCTGAGGCCTCCCCAGCCCTGTGGAACTGTGAGTCAATTAAACCTTTTTCCCTTATAAATTCCCCAGTCATGGGTATGTCTTTATTAGCAGCGTGAGAATGGACTAATACAGTAAATTGGTACTTCAGAGAGTGAGGTGCTGCTGTAAAGATACCCAAGAACGTGGAAGTGACTTTGGAATTGGGTAATGGGCAGAGGCTGGAACAGTTTGGAGGGTTCAGAAGAAGACAGGAAAACATGGAAAAGTTTGGAACTTCCTAGAGACTTGGAGGGCTTAGAAGACAGAAAGATGTGGGAAAGTCTGGAACTTCCTAGAGACTTGTGGAATGGCTTTGACCAAAATGCTGATCATGATATGGACAATGAAGTCCAGGCTGAGGTGGTCTCAGATGGAGATGAGAAACTTGTTGGGAACTGGAATAAAGATGATGCTTGATGTGCTTTAGCAAAGAGGCTGGCAGCATTTTGCTCCTGCCTTAGAGATCTGTGGAACTTTGAACTTGAGAGAGATGATTTAAGGTATCTGGCAGAAGAAATTTCTACATGGCAAAGCGTTCGAGAGGAAGCGGAGCATAAAAGTTTGGAAAATTTTCAGTTTGATGATGTAATAGAAAAGAAAAACCCATTTTCTGGGGAGAAATCCAAGCTTGCTACAGAAATTTGCATAAATAACAAGGAGTCCAATGTTAATCATGAAGACAATGGAGAAATGTCTCCAGGGCATGTCAGAGACCTTCAAGGCAGCCCCTCCCATCACAGGCCCAGAGGCTTAGGAGGGAAAAATGGTTTTGGGGCCAGGCCCAGGACACCCCTGCCGTGTGCAGCC